ATAAAATTAATTGCACTGTGCCTGAAAAAGACGCGCTCTCCGCTCTCTTCCCGTGCATTCAAAATTAACGGGAGTCTTCAGAACAGCCTCGTCCCTCGTCAACAGCACCGAACTTAGCTCCAATGTCAATCAACGTCTGGGCCACTTGGTGGAATCCTTTACCAGAAACAATATAGAACGGGCGCATATCAAGAGAGCGCACAACTCATTCCAGGCAACACTTTTCTGACCTTCTATTTCCTTTGTTTTTAATTCTCCTTTTTTGAGTTTGTCACGTACCTTCTTCGCCGGCGTTGCCATCTCTGATAACAACAAGCAGTCTCTGCATAGACTCAAGCTGATGAAAATTAGACTATTTCAAAGTGTGCTCGATTTTTTTTTTTTTTTTTGGGATGTAGGTATAGTCAGATAACAATCGAGAGATCGATCCTCCTAACGAAGTCGCAACAGCTCCTGTATCCGTGCTCGGAATCGCTGTGTGAGCTCGTCGTGATACCTCGCTGTCGAATTTTACCAGGAGAGCTTGGAGTGGAATCAGGATCGGTTCAGGGATGACAACTGTGGAGACGGGTTGAGTCTGCATTGGTCCCGGTGTAGAGACATGAAGACCGCGAACCATCTTGGCCAACCTCTCCAAGGACGAGGTAAGTTGATCCAGTTGACCCTGGTGTACGGCGGCTGACAGGAAGGCATACAAGGCTGACATGCTGCTGGATCTGGTTTTGGCTAAGTCTTCTGTCATGAACAACCAGACAAGGTTAGATCCAAACGCAGCGTGAGTTTATTCACAGGGTAGTCAGACAGGCAAGGGTCACAGACAGCAAACACAGCATAGGAGACAAGGCAATACTCAGAGTCCGATAACCAGGCGGGAAGACAGAGGCAGGCGGCAGACAAAACGGAATCCAGGAAACAGGCGATATGTCAGAAACACAGACAGGACTAGACTCGGAAAAGCTTGGTGATGTCCACAACAGTAAAACAAGACTTAGCAATTAGTGATAGTGATTGTGGGGTATAAATGAGTGTGGAGCTGGTTGGCTTTATTATATGGAAAATGCTCTAGTGAGGCCACCGTTCATCTGAGCATCAAACAGACATTCTGTGTGTGATGGCTTCCTCCCAACCGTGAGTTATTCTACTGAGGCCACCGCTCTGTCAAGCTCCAGATAGAACTACAGAGTATAATTTGGCCCCCGTCGGGCCACCTTGATAGCCACCTTAGACTAGAGCAGCAGGTCTCCTTTCATTTTGAAAGTCATTTTGAGATTATAGCTCTGAACTTCAATTATATAATATTGGTCGATATCTGGTTTAGGCTTAGTAACAAGGAAAATTGTGGCGGTCTGCTAAGCATTCTCGCCTTGAGCCTCTCAGTATCTGAGTGTAGGTTCCTTAGAGCTAGAGCCCATCAGAAGGTTTTATTCCTGTAAATCTAGTTTTTCCTAGTACTGGCCTCCTCTTACTACAAGAGTCGTCTAGCCAAGGCCCACCTTTTGGACTAGGTGTAAAATGCTAGTGGTGTTACAGGATAGAGAGCAGCATTGGTGGCAGGCTATTTTCAAAAAGCCTCCCATGCAGATATCTCATGGTCGTTGCCAGGCCTTTCTCTTTAGAAAGTAAGAAGCAGTTTGCTCAGGCCTTGAGTCCCTTGTATAAAAGAATTCAAGACATAAGGTTGATTGTCGTTGGCCACGTACTGTGGCCTCCATTTCCTTGGGTTTAGAAGAGTATTTAAAATCTGTCTTGTAAAAAAGAAAAAAGAAAGATAATAGGCCTTGACCCTGATACATTCCTCAGGTTCATCCTGATAGGGTCATTATTTAGAGTACTTTGCAACCCATAGCTCGAATGATATCACCCTTCACAACCCAGGCTCAGGTAGAGACAGATTAGTTACTCCCTCCCATTTGGGATGGTTGAGTACGCTCCCTTAGAGCCGAAGCACGCCCGTGATATTCAAAGCTGTAGGCCTTACAGTAGGCCTCCTCGATAGTCCGGTGGCGTAAGACTGTAAACCCTGGAGCTGGAGGCGCTCCCCTTATGCTTAGAGGGCCCTGAAGCAGATCCAGGATTGAGTATAGTCACTCCCCTCGTTTGCAAGGGTTAGAAAGCACTATGATGAGTTCTACTCTCCAGGATGCCCGTCTCTATGATCCTGTCTGTGAGTGATTATTGTCACTATCTGCAGTCCTCCCTATTGGATGCCTCCACAAGTAAGGCAAATAATGTTAGAGACTGATGTCCACGAAATTTGAAGCTTTAGGCCTACAGTAGGCCTCCCCGATAGGCCGGTAGCGTAAGATTGTACTCCCCTTGCTTTAAAGGTTCGATAGCATTCCTGCTGAGTACACTGCCTGTTGGCAATATTAAACAAGTATGATCAGGCCCACAGAGATGTCTGTGAGAGCACCTGGCTTCTGTGGCTAGCTCTGCTAACAGTCCAGCTATCAAGTAGTTAGGCCTTAACAGCCCCCTTGAAACTCCCCAACGAGTGGATGCTTAGCATTACAAAGGCATCAAGTATCACATTGCAGGCCCCCCATGGAGCCTCCCTGTTTCTAGCTCAGTGCCTGGTCAATACTTATCAGCTTTGAGCATAGTGTTCCAGAAATTATCTGAGTATCGCTCTGTATGAATTCTTAGGTCCCTGAGTCTGGTCGGAAGGACGAAGATCTCTCATGAGGCCTCCCTGTTAGATCAGCCCTAGAGCTGGAGGCGTCTCCCCTTTTTAGGGTCCCTTTTTAAGAGTGCCCAGCCTCCACAGGGCTTTGAAGCACTGTGTAGATCCAGGAGTAGAGTTACCCCCCTCTTTTTCAAGGGTTAGAAAGCGCTATGCTGAGTTCTACTCTCCAGGGTGCCCGTCTCTATGGTCCGGTCTGTGAGTGATTACTGCCACTATCTGCAGTCCTTCCTATCGGATGCCTCTACCAGTGAGGCAAATAATGCTAGAGACTTTGTTTAGGAAAGCACTGCCTGGGCTGACGCTTGTGACTTTCGAAGCAGTATGCCTTACAGTTGGCTTCCTCGATAGTCTGGTAGCATAAGATTGTACTCCCCTTGCTTTAAAGGGTCGATAGGACTTCTGCTGAGTATACTGCCTGTTGGGAATGTAAACCTTAGAGCTGGAGGCGCTCTCCTTATTAGGGCCCCTTTCAGAGTGCCCAGCCTATAGTGAGTTCTACTCTCCAGGATGCCCATCTCTATGATCCGGTCTGTGAGCAATTACTGCCACTATCTGCAGTCCTCCCTATCGGATGCATCCACAAGTGAGGCAAAATGTCAGAGACTCTGTTTAGGAAACAGACAGGTTGTTGGCAAGACTAGGTCAGTAAAATAGACTAGGTCAGCCTCCCTGGTGGCATGTGGGGTTGACTTTATGTCCCCCTCAGAAAGTGACTGGACGGGACTCCTTTGGACCCCCTGGCCATATTCCCTTAAAGGAACCCCTTCCACGGAAGCTGTTGGTTCCAAGCCTTTGAGCAGCCTTGGTAGGCCTTCATTGTATTGGAGGCCTCTTTGAGGCTTATAGCTTGGGCAGTGGCCGTAGGGAATACTGTCGCTGACAAGCCTGTATGTGACCCGAAGGGGGAGTGTTTTTTTGGCATTTCATTAAAACTGCAGGTTACGACTGTAACCTCTGTTCCCTGAGAACAGGTGCGTCTGAGGGGAAATCACGCCTTAAGTCTCATACTTAAGGGAAAGACTTAAGGTGCTTTATGCAACCGGGAACAGGTTTAGATACCCCTGGCATAAAAGCTTGGGGATCTTTCCTAGTATCTGGGACTATGGCTTAGGGAGTAGCGCCACCATATGAGCCGCATGGGATGTGCCCATGGGTTTGACACACTTTTGACTCCACCTGGGTAATCCATAGAGTCAATTTATGCTGCGCCCCACTGTGTTTGTGCATGTTCACAGCCTAGTGAGGCAGCATGCCGTAGTGAGTATTGGTTCCCCATAGCGTCTCGTACCCCTTTTCAGGGAACCAGGGTTACAGTCGTAACCTGAGACGTTTCTGATTCAATAGTGTCAGTGCAGTTAAATCAGTGACACTGTTGAATATTAAGTGTCCCTAACTAAGCAAGCCAAAAGGCGACAGTGACAAGAACCCAAACTCCATCAGTGACCAGAAATGGAGAAAAAACCTTGGGAGAAACCAGGCTCAGTCGGGGGCAGTTCTCCTCTGGCCTAATGAAGGATCAGTGGCCTTAAGCACGATGAACATCCTTCTTGTTTACTGTCTTTAGGTCCCAGCTGGTCCTGGTGTGGCACGTTTTGTTGTTAAACGAGGGCTGCGCAGCTGCAAGTACACACTGCACATTATCCCTGTGGTAAATACTTCATCCATGTGCCTAGGAACAGCCCTGAAAACTAACAATTGTTGTATTTGCATCTACAGTTAATGTTTAGCTTTTTCTTTGGTCTTAAAGAAGATTAGAAAACAGACTCTAAAAACAGCTGAAACATTTACATTATATATATATATAATATAATATATATAATATTACATTGCTGGCCATAGGGATCTGTGCCGAGAGCTCATCTAGTCACTGAGAATCTGTCCCGAGGGCTTGTTTCGTTAAGGTCTTTGCTTGCCGTGAAGGGCTGTTGGGATTAAATATTGTTATCAAGACTCCGCACCTCTCACATACTCTGTTCCCCAAATCATCACTCCAGTATCTCCTGCTCTATTTATTCCTTAATTTCATCAAAACTTCTAAAATTATAATCCTATATTAGCCTCCATTTTCTGTAGAAATGTTTCTAAAGTAGAGTACAATCGACTGAGTATCAAAATTTATTTTTTCCATTTAATTTTTTATTTAAAACATTCAGTAAATGACATTTTTCTGTAATTCCAACCTCTGATGTAGTATGTGAGTTTTTATTTCCAGTTTGCACATGCATTCAAACTGGAAACCCATTGACTGAAGGAGTAATCCCGGTAGCTCATGCTCTGATGGACCAGTGCTATGTGTTTTTGCATATCGACTCAGTCTCTCTCCTTCTGCATGTGGCAGCTGTGGATGCATCGGACTTCTCAGGCACTTCATTCCCTAAAGTCTTTGCGGTTTTTGTTGTTAAACGAGGGCTGCGCAGCTGTAAGTACACACTGCACATTATCCCTGTGGTAAATACTTCATCCATGTGACTCAGAACAGCCCTGAAAACTAACAATTGTTGTATTTGCATCTACACTTAATGGTTTGCTTTTTCTTCGGTCCGAAAACCGACTCTAAAAACAGCTGAAACATTTACTTTACTATAAACTATTGTAGACCTGACTTGTAGATAAGACTTGTCAAGATTTTTTTTTTTTGTAGCTTGAAGCAAATAGAATAAAAATAACAATATTTAATAATTATTATCGTATTTATAATTTTGAATTAGCTTGAATTTTATTTAGCTTTAATAAATTTTATTTCAGGTTTGGTTTTTAGTAATTTTAGTACTTCAAGCTTAAACATGTTTATTTCGGTTTGTTATCATGCAGCATTTGTCATTTTATTTATTTTAAAGTTTAGCATTTAATATTTATATTTTATTTCAGATTTATTTAAATTACCGAAAACTATTTTTGATAGTTTTAGTTAAAAATAACAACACTGTAAGCATATGGCCATTTTTACATGAAGTGTATCAATGCTGTACAGGGCCTCAACAAACTAATTTTAGATCAGTTTGAACACTAAAATATCTGTTCTGAGATCAGTGCTTCTTGCATAAATTCATCAGCTCCTGAATCTGTTGCCCAGTGCTTCCAGCAGAGGGAACTGTGTTCTCTTACTAACACTTCTGATCTAAAGCCATACTAAGATGAATACGATTGGGCCTCAGTCAGTCTTTATCTTGATCATTCAGAGATGTTTGAACCTCCAAACATATCCACACAAACTTTCTCAAAGAAATATCGAGAAAGTATAGTTAGTTTGCCGTTTAAAGCACGCACAGCGTGTTTGTCATTCACAGCATACAATAGGTTAAGTGCAGTGAAAAAGTCCAGAACAAATCTTGACTGATATCACTGTGACGTTCGCAACGAGAGTACGTGGAGAGAGCTGTTTGTTTGACCTTCTGTCATACAGATCTATTTAAAACAGATGATATTGGTGGAGATGTGTTCAACGAATGCTCTAATCTGCTGTTTCACCCACGTCTCCAGGCAGGAGAATGGAAACACCCTTCAATATCAGGAAGAAAAATAATGAACTCATGCTTTCTAATGTCTCTATAAATAGATACCACAGGCCATATAAACAGAAAATGCTGTTGGATTGAGGAAGAGGAGGAGGGCAGGATTGTGGAGGCCGGGGTCCTGAATCCCCATAGGGGTTAATAAGAATGAAAAGTTAAAATTGGGGGGTTCCTTTTGTTTTATTGAATTAGAAAAAAAAATCTTTCTTTTCTACACAAACTTTTCTACACTTCGATCTCTGTTGCATTTAACATTTACCAAAAACCAAAAATTATCCTGACACCAGATATAATTTTTTATATTTTTTTACTGGTGTGTGCAGGACACTATAGTTAATTTATGTAAGTGAGGATTGCAAAACAAAGTAAACTGTGACATATTATACCCAAAAAATTCTTCATACAGCGACTACCAGTACAATTGATTCAAATTTGGGACTAAAAGTTATTCAGACACTTTGAGCTGATCACGTTTTCTTGAGTGTTTTTTCTGTAATTGCTAATGCTCTTTTTACACACACACTGAACAACATGAAGCATTGCTTGGTCACTGGTTGAGCTAAACTGGTATTATCTAATTGTGGAGTTAAATTTAACAGCTGACAGATATTCAACATAATTCATTTGTGAGAGTCTAACAGAAGGACGGACAAAACCAGTGAAATATCCACTGATCTGATAACTCTGAGTTCGTCATATTTTATCACCATTTTCTAAACTATAGCGAATAACTGTGATAATGTGAGAAATGGTGAAGGACTCTGAATAAATGTTGGTTTGACTGTACACACGCACAGGCAGTTTTATAGGTCATGCATGATTAGCTTTAAGGGTTGTTAATCAGCACAAGTCTGTGAAATCATTCACTACAATGAAACCAGTTTGATGATTCCTCTCCTGTGTCCATCCACTAGAACAGAGTTTCGGTTTTAGTTGATGGCAAACGGCTAAATGAATGGATTTGAATCAGGAGTTCCTTTAAACGCTCCATTTCCAGGTTTTATGTTTGTTTGGTTGTCTTTCATCTCATATTGTCATCGGGGAGGGTTGTAAGTGAAGCGCTGGAGTTAATCTGAAGATTACGGGACGTTTCCTCAGGGATGAGTGGGTTTGTTTGAAGGTCATATCCTGTTGTAAGTCACCCATCCGCCTCTTCTGGAGCTCAGTAACACACACATCGCATCGCATGATGAGGCCGCGCAGGTGGTGGGCTGCCTTCTTCTGCTGTTTACGCTTGTCTACGTCAAGTTTCAAGAGGATGTACATTACAGTATATCTGAGTGAAAAGCAGGTGGGGGGGGGGGGGAGGTTTAGGAGGTCATTTTAGGTCAGATGTTTCACTGGATTTAAATCTGGTCGATATGAGTAACATCAACACAAACCTGAAATGAGTCAAGCTTTTAGAGACCTTCCACTTTCAAAACACTCTCTGTTTGATGTGTGCATGTCCATCTTGAGATAATCTGATACATTATCTGTTTAAATGTTTATGATTTACAGTGAACTTATATAGGATACACAACTGTCTCAGTTGATTATAGGTAGAGGTTGAGTTCATTTATTGCAGTAAATGTCTGTAAACTTACTCATCTTACCAGTGAGATTAGAGGAAATGATAGACTATAGAATAGTTGTGTCCAGTGCTTTAAGATCAAGAGCTATTTCTGATATAAATAATAATGTAATGCAATAGTAGTAGAACCATTAACCATTATTATTGAATGTAATACTTGTGCAACATCTATTAATCTTAGTTCTACATTTACTAATACATTATTACAATCAACATTACTGCTCTGTGAACTAACATGAACAAACTAATGTAATTGTAATTTCATTAACTAACTTTAACAAAGGTTAAGAATGCTGTAAAAATATATTTCTCATAGTTCATGTGAACTAATGCAATATTAACAAATGAGACCGTATTGTAAAGTGTTAGCGATTTTTGGTGTGTTTTATGCCCGTATATAAACACTTCATGTCACTGTCAGCAACTTAACCTTTGTTCATATGAAGAGAAAACATCATTAATCATAAAATAAAAGAAACATTGACAAATTTAAGCCTGACAGTTCAAACAGTGCAGGCGTATAGTGGAAGGGTTTGGCCGTGGCTGTCGCAGTAAAGACAGGCGCTGATGGACCCCGGGACACACCGTGGACGGGACAGACCTGTTAGTATGACCATGACATCATCTTCAGGTACCTTGAACTGCTCCTCTTGACTAAATCAACCAAAAGAAGTGAAAAACTGAAATCTCTTGAAATCCTTTAACATGGAAGAAGTAGTGAATGGCAAGAAACAGGATTGACTTGTTTTGTCTTGTATGTATATTTACAGTATATATCCCCGAAGCTTCAAGGTACCTGAAGATGATGTCGTTGTCATATTAACAGGTCTGTCCCGTCCACGGTGTGTCCTGGGGTCCATCAGCGCCTGTCTCTGTGTCTTTACTGCGACAGCCACGGCCAAACCCTTCCACTATACGCCTGCACTGTTCGAACTGTCAGGCTCATTTGTCAATGTTTTCTTCTTATGCGGCACCTGAGTTTTGGAGTGAACAACTAAGCCCTGTCTTTGGTGGACTAGACTACATTTCTACTGTGAGATTACAAAATATAAAATAAAGGTAATCCAAAGAAGTCCCTTACCAAATGACACCAATGCAGTGAAAGATTAGCAGCCTCTCTAAAATCATCGGCAGATCCTAGCATAGTTACGCCACATTCACACTGGGCTTTGATTTTGAAAATGTTCTGGCAAATTGCTAGCCTGGTTAAAACCAGACCATTCTCAGTTGTAACTGAGTTAAGGTCTGGCAAAGCGTCATAGACAAATCATTTCCACCAACGGACGTCGCGAATAGACCTAAACCCAATCAGAGCGCTGAAGGAGATGACGTATGCAGAGCGGCGGAGAAACATCTCCGAGTGTTGTTCTTTGCTCGGTTTTTAACAAAAAGGAAACGTTCAAATGGCTTAAAACAGACGCGATAGCTGATTGGAACGAGTGATGTTCGACGGCGGCATCCATCTCTGTAATGTAGGCTACAAAATCTGCTCCAAAATCCCAGCGCTGTCGTCATCGTGTAAAGCCCGCCCCAACGCTTCTGATTGGTGCCGCGATTTCGGCGGATTGGAAATGGGCTTGAGTGAGCTCTTTGCCAGACTAACTTTCAGAGCAAATCTAAATTTGCCGGAAGTTGTCTGGGTTTTCCCAGGCTAGCAAATTGCTGGAGTGAATACAAGCTGGAACCAAAATGCCAGAATATTGATCCTGACATTAGACCCTTGTAACATTGCCAAGACAGAGTGTCTGTGTGTCGTAGTCAGATATGCTCCTTTCCTTTTCATTTTCTGTTATCCTGTTGTAAACAGTCACATCTCAGAGCAGCTTGATTGTATCTACATACAAAACAACTATTTCATGTAGTAAAATACAAACTGCCCTTTATATTCCACATCACTATAAAGTCACAACACATAGTATTAATAACACTGTATGGAATAAGATGTATTGCCTGCAGGACTATATGTGATGAGCCTTAAACATCAGCTGGAGGATTGACCTTTGCCTGCGTCTCGCTGACTCTTCTGCTTATGCTTTATATCCACTTACTGGAAACTCTGTGATGAGGCTCATATTGGGACATTTTAGAATTAAATGTATTAATGGCAACTCCCTCATAAACATTGCCTGTCTCCATGCACATGTTCTTGGTCGTTGAAGAGTTGAGGTGTAATGATATTCAGCCGCCAGTAACTGATGATAGCACTGCGGTAAAAACATCCAGAGCGCGTGTGCGAGATGCGCTCCGGTCGGCCTTTGTTGAGTGCGCTCTTCCTTCAGTCACAACTGTGTTTATGAAACAACCCAAACAACTTCACTTTCAGAAATGCTGAAAGAAAACAGTCCATTATGAGCCGTACACACAGCGTGCCGGACATCTGGACGAGAGAGCCGTCTTCAACATTCGCCCTTTTCATCTCGGTAACTTCAGCGCGGCGAGCACAGGGCCGGTGTTTTACGCTAGCTTTCACGCTAATCATAATATTTACATTATGCTCGTACAATTATAGTTTTTGTCATGTTTTTTTGTGGTTTTGGTGACCTTTTATGGCGATGTAAAACATACACCTGCAAATTGGCTCTATTGCGTTCAACACCCACATCCACAATTCAGAAAATATTTACTTCATCAAAGGTGCTTTTCTGCAAGAAAACAAAACGGAGTGAGTGATGCGAAGTTGGTTCGCAGTACTCACAGGGCTAGATGATGATATAAGATATATAAATAACTATAAACATGGGCACGATCTCCTGCATATTAGACCACTGTTGATGCATGTGAAACAAATCTTTCCTCAAGACTGTCTTTCGGTTTGGTTATCGTGGCAATAACAACTCTATTTATTTGATGGTACTAAATTATATTTATGCAGTAGTTATAATCCATTCACTCACTTTTTGAGCATAGACCTGAAAGTCTTGACTGAAGTTTGGTCTTTTTAAAGAAGGTATTTGCCAGATTACTGCTAGAGTGAAAAAGTTGTTAAAAAGTTATTGGTATGAAATATGCACATACTGTTCTCTAGAAATGTGACCATAAGGGGTAGTGTGTATCCAAGACAACAAAGCCCAAATAAATCTGAGGGGAGAGCAGTCGTGGATAATGTTCTGATCTCTTCAAGTTGGGACAGGCTGCAGGTTCAGGCTTTGCCCCTCCTAGAAACTCACAGAACGGAAAAGGACCTAAAAACACACTCTTTTGTGACGTCTGCCGTGTTTTGTGTTGAATCTACTTCCTAACTATATGTATTTTACTTGACTTTTCATTCTCGTAGGCTGTTTTTGAATGCACTCTTTTGACATGATGGTCATTATTCATATTCCTCTACGAGACGGCAGGATCACGACACCTCTGTGGAGTGAAAGTCAACCGCAGAAAAAGTGAGAGTTATGATTGCAGCAATGCTTTGATGGTGCAGTATGAAGAGATCTGGTGTGTGCAGAGATGGTCAGGAGCTTGTTTCGAGGACGAGGGCTTGTTGGGCCGGACGCTTCTCATGTAGGCGTCATGTTTATACAGATTGCGCTCACGGAAATTCAGCGATTTCTCAGAAAAGTTCTTTGGAAAGTTGAGGTTCTCTAAGTGCCTTGAACCCACTACTATAAATTGTTTGTTCAATAAGACATGGCGTAGGTGAATAAAAGTCACCAATTACGTATCTTTGTCAATTATTGTTTAAAGGACATGACAGCATTGAGCAACGCAAGCGTGTATTTACAACACTTTTTTGTAACATGATTCACATTTTTAAGCCTGTTGCAAGCGGGAAGGGACCCTATATCCAAATGTTGAGATTTTCTGCAACATCATGTTTCTGAGTAATAGTGCCCGTAATAAAGGAAACCATTTATATGGTAAATAGCCAACGCTGCGGTAAGATACCCATCCCAAATGACCAAGTGACTAACAAGTGAAATATCTGGCAGGAAGCTGAACTCACATTATTTATAATCACATTGCGTTAAAGCACATAGATTTCTACCAATATTTCACTTTCATTTGAATTAAAATATCATGCTTGCACTATGTAGATTTTTTTTTTTTGTTAATGCTAATGTAATGTTTTTTATTTATTTTATGGTATTAAATTATATTCATGCAGTAGTTATAATCCATTTGTCCACATAATCCATAGACCCGAAAAAGAAATGTCCAACTTAAGCTGTAATAAATCTTAAATGTTTTGTAGCACAGACTGAAGTTTGGCCGTTTTAAAGACGGCACTTGCCAGATTAGCCTACTCCTTAAGTAAAAAAGTTTTTAAAAAGTGAACTTAAAAAAGTTATAGAATTTTCGATTTATTGTTATGAAACAATGAAACCTTTAGTTAGATTTGTTTGGGCGCAGTACCAAACGCTTCCACTAGATGAAATTCGTTTCCCATTCATTTCCAAAGCGTCAGTTTTGACCGCGAGGAGCACAAGTGTGACTATTTTATTTCAGGACCATTTAACCTTTTTTAAGTCACGTACATTGTTTATTGTGTGTGTGTGTGTGTGTGTGTGTGTGTGTGAACGAAGGGGTTAAACTTACATTGGCCTCATCAGTCTCAATAGTTGAACTCTGTTGTGCTGTTTTCACCTTTGAAACATTTGGCACACTTCTCTTTTAGTCAGTAATGTGCAGATTTTTCATAATCATCCTCAACTTCTGTTCTGTTCAACTCTGTTATGGGAAAATTCATCGTGATTTTTGTAAACAGAAAAAAAGCCCTTTTTTTTGCACAAAGACTATAAAAATTATTTGATATGGTTCAATGGGATGTAGTTTCCAACGAATAGCTTCCTTCCTGTCACTGACGTCCCGTTTGAGTCAGTAAGCGGAGTCTATCCCTGATCCCGACGGATGAGCTCTGGCTGTGTTCACGCAGGTTTGCTCTATTGAAGCCCACGCATTCCTCTCCCTCCAAGATCACTCAACCGTATCCTTAACTGTAGCCGTGTCTGTGACGCATCAGCCTTTGTACAGAAGGAAGGAGTCCTGGATTTCCTCGACCCCACCCACCTCGAGGAGACTCTCAGGATGACTACCTGAAGGGGCGAGTTTCATTCAACACCCACTGGGTGAAACTGAAAGGTTCGATTTAAACCGAACCGAGGACTGACTTTGAAGTGTTACCTGTTTGACGTGACGTGCCAGTGCTTGTGCTTGTGCTGAAGGAAATGGCTCAGGTCTGGATCTGTGAGGGAGCATGTCTGAAGTTACCGCTGGAAACATTCTCAGCCTGATCTCAGATCTGATTTAAAACAACAAAATATCTTGTCATTGTCAAAACAAGTAATATATGTTCTGCCATGCTTTCACTTGTTTCACTTTCGCTCAGTAATAAAAAACAAATATAAAAAAGACTAAGGCATTCCTACTTATCGATATTGATCAGCAAAAACTGTCATTTATCAAAATATGTATCAATCTGTAAAGGGGTCCCACAGGGCTCCATTTTGGGGCCACTTTTATTCACTATTTATATAAACTGTCTGGGGGAAAATGTCCAACATGCATTTTTCTATTTTTATGCAGATGATACGGTTATTTATTATTGCAGCTACTATTAGGAAGGCGTATGAATGCCTGCAAACTGCTTTCGATAGAGTCAAGCACAGCTTTATCAATTAGAGCTTGTTCTTAATGCATAGAAGACCAAAGAAATGGTCTTTTCAAACTCAAGGAAAAAAGAGTTAGACCTGAATATTGTTACTGATCCGGGTACAACAATTGAAGTTGTTTCATCTTATACATATTTAGGATTTTTAATTGATGATCACCTTTCTTTTAAGCTTCATATACAGAATCTAGGAAAAAAGTTGTTTTTTTCTTTAGGCACAAATCTTGTTTTACTTTTTGTGCCAGAAAAGGCTAGTCGAGGCCACATTTCTCTGTATTATTGATTATGGTGATCTGTTGTATATGAATGCCCTTATCTAAGTGTCTTCAGATGTCGGATGCTGTGTTTCATGGAGCTTTAAGGTTTATTTCAATTTGCAGACCCCTCACTCATCACTGTACACTCTTGCCCTCTATAGTGCATTTGCCCTCTCTGTCAAATCTCCGGCTTATTCACCTTTACATCTTTATATATAAGGGCATTATAGGCAGGCTCCCAAGTTACATATCCGCATTTATGTACTTATGGATTACGGTCCAGAAAACTATTTCATTGAATGTACCTCAAGCCTGGACAGAGTTGTTTAAAAAGGCTTTCATGGTTGTTGCACCTTCTACTTGGAATGACCTACAGAAAACACTTAAACTACAGTGTCAAATTTCCTTAAATGATTTTAAAGGTTATGTTAAAACTATAGAACAAAAGTCCATCCACATGTGCAAATATTTTAATTAATAGCACTTTTATTTTATTTAAATGTACTCGAGTTGTCTTTGCCTCTTTTGTGTTTGTTTTGTGATTGTGTGATCTAGTTTGTTCTGCTATCTTGACCAGGTCTCTCTTGAAAAAGAGAGTATATATCTCAATGAGACTAACCTGGTTAAAGAAAGGTTAAAGAAAATAAAAAAATGAATATCCATTTCCATGCTGTACATGCTGTAATGGCTAAATTCACTTCTAGTTTTATAAACTAACTTGTAGTTTTATTTCAAATTAATTAATGTTTTATTATTCACTTAAAATAATAATAGATTTATTCAAATCTGCCATTTATCAGCCATAATATGAAAATAATGGTCAGCCAGAATGTCAGTACTGGCGCATCCCTGAGGATAATGAATGACTAGCAGACAGAGACTGTAATCCTGCATGAAAACATGCTTTCTTCTATTTTAGGTGCACTCAGTTAACCAACACATTATTTTTCCACTTTTATAAACATATTTCATGTATTGTTATTCACACACTCGTGTGTCAGTGACTGTAATTCAGTCATTAGGCATATTTCTATTTGAAAAGTTTTATATTTAGGATTTGCTTATGATACCAACATTAGCAAAACATGTCACTTGTCTTGTTTTAAAGATAAAGCTCAAACTGTCAGATCTGCTGTTGTTCAACATATTTCAGTGTGAAGCCCAGTTTCGGTGTGTATGGCAGGAGTATTGGCATGATCTTCCTGGTTGGTGTATCCTGACATTCGTCCCACACGTCATGTCGAACAAGACCACAGACCCACATCAAACCGTGACAACATCAACTGAATCCAGCAAGTCTGGTCTTGTTAAGCGTGCCATGCTTATGTCAGCCGTGTGTCGTCACATCCAAAGAGAGGAACACAAGTATTATGTGTGTATAACACTTCTCAGTTGAGTATTTAATTATTATGACACATTTCACAGTACTTCGTTCGATCACAGTATATAACGACAGAAGCAATGTGTCAGCCGTCCTGTTTATACACTATCAGACCATTAGAGCTGAGTCTTCCAAGACTAGGAAGTCTTCAAAGTGGCTTTAACACACCAACACGGCGGCCGTTGCTAATTTACAAATGAAGAAGTGCCATGATTCGTAGGACTTGTGGAAATCTGACACATTGCGAGTTGATCCCGCCTCTCCTGAGTAAAACACACTTGCAGACGGGGGAGAGTTTCTGTTGCTAGAGTTGTCTGAGGGAGTCTCGCTCACACACTCGCACCTCGCGCTCAACTTACACTGACTGACAGCTGAACGCAGCGAGAACACACACAGCCAGCATGTCTGAGAAACAGCCAAGAAAAGATGGGAAAGGTGGTGGAAAGAAAAAGGATAAGGACTCGAGCTCCCCGGAAGGTAAGAGTGTGTGTGTGTGTGTGTGTGTGTGTGTCGAGGTTTCAGGTGGTGGGAATGGATTGACAGCTCCACTATTGAGCAGATTTCAATAGTTTCTTTCCCCGTGAGCTGCACTTTCAGGTTACAGGTGTTGCAATCCTCTGGGATGTTTGAGCGCATGCGACTCTGTCAAGCGAGAACGGGCAGAAATGTTTGTAACCATTAACACGACCCACCGGTCCGGTGACTTAGAGGAGAGAGTTTCCCGCCTGTCACGGCGGCGGCTTGCCTTCTGGAGCTCAGGGAGTACAGCGCTTCAATACACACCCGGAGAAAGGCATTACAGCATGTGTTTTACTGTATTTTAACTCCTCCGTTTGAACTTCATTTTCAAGTTATAAAAGATTCAACTAGGAAATGTTTGTACAGCCAATTTTGATTATACCTAAAAATGTAAGGCAGCAACTGAACCGAAGTTGTTTGAATTAGGGGACATTTATTAGCATAACAATTTGAGATATTTGAATGGGAAAACTGTAGATAAATGTGAGACGGTCTCAGTGTTTGGTGTCTGTATGGACCACAGCACTGGGGCTTCATCAACTGAACCTGATGATCATGTCCTCCAGCATTAGTTCAGCCAAACTCTACAATTCACTGTTTATTTCTAAGTTTAAATTAGATTTGAATCTCTGATTTTCAATGTGGTCTGAGCCTCACTGCATGTCACTGAACACACACTCTTGGTTATTGAGTATTAGGTATTAACGCTACGTGTGACTAGAGTTAAAGGTTAGTGAACGCTCCATTCACAGCCTACTTTTTAATGTTATTTTTGAATGTATTTGATGAGGAGTGTGACGCGCGGCAGTCTGAGCGAGTCGATTCTGTGAATGATCTCTTGCTGAAGAAACTCACTGTCACTGCTTCAGTTCGAGCTCATGTTGAAACACGCTCGTGCCAGCTTTAGACGAACCTCAGCCGGATGAAATGCGTCCTGTTCGTTGAGTTTCATGCGTATAAACATGTGAGGAATTATTGTGTTTGAAGTATTTGAACTCTTGATTCACCTTTAAAAATGTCTGAATATATCTTTCCATGAGATATAAAATATCAAAGCGACATTTATCTATTGTAAAGAAAGATAGCACTTGCATACTTTGAAATGAAAACATAATTTGAAATGATCAAAAATAGTGTTTAAAATGAAGACAAAAGTGACTCTTCGGCTGTGGTTAGTCTACGGTTAATGTGATTTCTGTACAGCTGTTGCTCCTCTGCTTGGACACCTGTGTGAATCTGAGGAGAACTGGCTTCACACATCCACCAAAACACCTATAATAATCCTCCAGCTGAAGGCGATGTCAAGAGTTTCAGTCTTACTGTAGAGATCTCTGACAGAAGCAGGATCTGGCGGATCTGTCTGTCTGAAGCTCATATTAGATCATGGGAACGTGGACCCGTTTTGCGGCCTGAAAGACAGTGTAGGAGTTCCCCAAAGGGAAGGCGTCCGTGACACACAGAAACAGCTGGACGGGCAGCGCCCGGACCCAGACACCGCGAGGAAACACAAATAACGGGATTCGCTGTTATCCGTCCGTGATCTTATCAGGTTAAAATACACTGCCTGGCCAAAAAATAAAAAGAAGAAAAAGAAAGGTCGCTATTTGGATTTAAATAGGCAAATGCTTTAGAGTCTGGATCATTATTGCAGTGATTATTATGTTTCTAGCATGTTATATGTTTGGCAACAGTTCTTCTAACCCTAATTGATGGAGTGTGTAGCTTTTCATTCCTTAAACAACCATGTAGGAACATCCATTTCAGGATGACAATGTCAAGCAGTGGCGTAGGTTTGATTTTGAAATTGGTGGGGACGGGGACATCAATGTATAAATATATTTTAAGTTTTGATCGAAATTATTGCTAGGGATATATCAGTGTCATTGAATATTGGTAGGGACACGTCCCTAGCATCCCTACTAAATTATACGCCCCTGCAAGATTCATCAGGCTCAGACTGTGAGAGAATGGTTGAGAAGAGCTTGAAGAATCATTTGCACACATGAGTCCAGAGCTTAAATCCACTGGAAGTGTTTGGGATGTGCTGGAGGAGGCTTTACAGAGAGCTGGACTCTTGCATGGACTATACCAGATCTTGACAGAAAATATATGCAACTCTTGATGGAAATAACATCACAACATTTATATTTGGCCTAGCAAGCAATAGCCGTCATTTCACCGTCTCGGTTCACTATAGACCCGATATAGTCCGACACACTTCTAGCCAAAATAACCTTGAATTTACTGAAGTTACATGTCATTTTTGCCAAAAATAACTTGCGAGATGTATGATATCCCATCATGTAAGCAAAGTACACAGTGATTACAAGGTGTTTGGATTCATTTCTTCACTCGTTTCATTTCTTTATTATCTAATTGATGACTAGTCTGTTCTTGGGCGATGGTTTAGACGTCTGTTAAATTTTCACTGACAGCCCAAATTTTGCCTTGTTTTAGCCTAGACGTCAGGGCTGTGTTTGGACCGCTATTAGACGTCTTTTAAACACAACATTGCTTTGCTGGCCACGATGTGTGTTCCTACATGGTTGTTTAAGAAATGAAAAGCTACACACTCCATCAATTAGTGTTAGAAGAACTGATGCCAAACATATAACATGCTAGAAACATAATAATCACTGCAATAATGATCCAGTCATAGACTCCTAAGCATTTTCCAATTTAAATCCAAACAGCGACTTTTTTCCCCGGCCTGGCAGTGTATATTACACATGTATAACACACGTCTGTGTGTGCAAGCCCAGTCAGTGTCCCAGCAGAGGTCTCTACGGAGATGAAGCAGCTCTCTCTGGGTTGCTGTCATCACTGCGCTATGCAAAATATTCTTGTTATTAAAAGCACCTTGTCTACAGGAAGTGTTGCATGATAAGGCAACAAGATTTTTGAGCTGCATGCTTTATCATTTTGAACAGTTTGGACTGATGGAGTTGATCGTCTCTGAGGATTGAGCAGCTGTGACTGGCAAACAAACACCTTCAGATTAGATCACCCAGCACACAACTGGAGAATACATTACAGGACAAATCAGAATCTCTTTATTAGCAAGTATGCAAGCATATGTGGTGCATTAAATAGCATATTCAGATCAATATACAGAGAGTTATTTTAACCATTCCTAAACAATTCTATGCAACATTTAAGGGGGAATTTCGCTGAAAATCTCTCCTTGCGTTTTTTTGCTGGGAATATGCCAAAGTCGGAGGGGATTATGCAGTTGGGACAAACAAGAGTTCAACACAAAAGGATTTTCTGGATAAATTAGTTAATCTTTAGTTATCTGTGTGTCTCTTCAGACTGCAGTATCACCACCTGCTGATGCGGACTCATAACTATGTAGCTGTGTAAATGCGGTCCTACCATAGATGCTGGTTTTGTTTATATAACTTTAATAAAAGGGTTAACACTCTAGATTAGGGAACACTATTCACTAGTTGCTTATTAGCATGCATATTGTCTGTTTATTAGTACTTATAAAGCACATATTAATGCCTTATTCTGCATCCCTTAACCCTTCCCCAAACATAACCAGTACAACAACTACCTTACTTGCTGTCAAAAAGAGTTTATTGAGGGAAAACTCCTATTAGTAGTGAATATGTGTTCCCTAATCTTAAGTGTTCCCAAATATAGTGACTAACGCTACCGTTTAAAGTAAACATGCAAAACATTATTTAGTTTAGTTGTGAATCATTTTCACCTTTGTCATGTTGTGATGTTTCTACTCTAAACGATGAGGCACTCTCCTTCTTTAGGAAAGATGTCATGCCCAGGGCGAGCTTCACTTATCTGTTTTATATGACATCACACACAGACTGATCTGGTTATTGTGTGTTTGTCACACTGTCACGTAGGAACTCGCAATTAAACAGCATATTAGAGGTTTTTCTGCAGAATTTAAACAAAATGATAAAGTTACATATGTAGAAACCAAACCACTCACCATTTTTACAATTTGTTGATTATAATATTGCAATTAATTGTATAAATTAACTGTATAAAACGTGCCCTGGCCTGACATTTATGAAATATATACTTTTTGAGAACACAGTTCAACCTTTAGTTTAAATCTGCATTTATTATAATGTGTCAGATATTTCAAAATGTTACTATATTGGATATGAATAAAATGTGTTTGGGGCCAAATGCACACCACAGCTTGAGAGGCCAGGGGTGTAACACTGGGTGAGGTGGAGGGGTTAGCAGAGGCCCATTCTTCCTTCTGAGGAAACATTTATTTCAAAAAATGATTTTATTTATTTATTTTTTGCAGAATGTTGTCTTGTCGTATCTTACTTAAAACCCACATGTGTAAAGTTGTTTGCTGCAATAAATCAGTGATGTTATCATGGTCCAGCTCAGTCCAGTTCTCACACCGGCAATGCATTGTTGAATATTGCAGTGGGCTTGTGTGTTTAATAGCATCATGATGACTGATTGGATGGAGTACATGCGCACTTGGGTTTTGTTTGTTAACCAATTAAAACATTTAAAAAAAACGCCAAACTGATCCCAAAACCAGCCCAAATTTTGTCCACCTGCCCAAACCCAAATTTTGAACCCAAACCCAAATCTGGCAACACTGCCGAGAGGACAGCAATGGGGAACATTTGATAATATGTTGCTAAAAAAAAATTAAGCCTATTAACTTTAAGATTGTTTGATATTCATGACAATCAAGAACAGTTTCCTGTCAAACCCCCCTACATTAAAAATATAATTACAGTAGAATAGAGGGCATGCGGTGAAATATTAATGTATTTTATTGCTTATACGTATATAACATTAATAAGTTATAAGTTAACGTATAATATTGAAGTTTTATTACTGTGGGTAATTTCTGTCTTCTGCTTTGTGTGTGTGTTTCAGCCGAACCCAAGGTGAAGGAGCTGCGGAGCGTGACGGTGCAGGACGGGAAAAAGACCGTGTTTAAGTGTCAGGTCGTGTCGGGAAACCCACCGCCCAGCGTCAAGTGGTACAAGAACGGGCAAGAACTCGCAGGCAAAAACAGACCCAAAAGCATTAAGATTAAGGAAAGGAAACAGTAAGTTCCTACTGTTTAAATAAATCCAGATTTGGCTTCAGAGAATATTAAGTCAGAAATGTTATGTTTGCATTTAGCGTGACGGTATCTGCCGTGTGTCGTACAGTGTGTGGGCGGCTGTTGGTCAAAGTTAACCCAGTAAAACCAAACATGAGATCCGTAACCTTGGGACAGTGTTGCAGTTTTGAGAAGAAATACTCCGATATTACTCTGACTCATGATGATGCATACGCTGCTAATGTTTATCTTGAATTACAGTATAAACAACCAGCATTATGTAACTTTCCACAGGAAGAACATATCCGAGCTACTGATCAGGAAGTCCACAGAGGGGCACGCTGGTTTATACACCTGTGAGGCAGTCAACAAAATTGGAAAAACAAATACTACAGCGAGCCTAACCATCATCAAAAGTAAGAATGCATCCTTTTCACTAGCATTAAAGTCAACAGTGTGTAAATGTGTGGCGAGGCCACAGAAGGGCCAGGGTGACCCGACCCACCCAGAGTGAAGACTGAATACACTAGTGGAAACCGCTAAATCACCACGTCTGTTCTGTATCGTTTGTAAAGTGCATTTTCTATAACATCATTGCATTTTCTGCTTGGCTCTTGAGTCACAACCACAATTTCTATGAATGCAGCGCGAGGAACGATTGGTGGTGTAGCAAAACACATGCTGTTTTAAAACGTCACACGTCACGAGATGCTTTACTGTCACTGGTACGTCTGATTCATTCTAGTGAATCGCTTCCTCTTAAACGGTCCTCCTTTTCACTCACTCACTCACTCACACACACACACACACACACACACACACTCCTAAATGGCTGACTTGTCTCTCATGTATGTAACGCTGGAAAGCCTGATTCATTCGTTTGGACGGTTCTTGTAAATGTGTTGCATTGCATGTCTTTTTGTATCTATAGGCCCATGTCTTTGACTCAGGTACTGTATATAAATTAGGGAGTAGTATTGTTGTTTTTTGTCATCTTCACTTTTCTTATTGATGTTTTCACCCTAACTTTAATTATTTATCCATTTAAAAGCTCACATTGATATATTATAATTATATTATATGTTCATGTTGAACAGTTAAGTTTTGTAAGGCTTCACATAAATGCCACATAATAGCTGCATCTAGAGCATCTCTTCTCCTCATCTCCAAGCTTCTGTAGGTTACACTTGTTTAAAACTTAAATACATTGATTCCAAGCTACTTTATTAGCTTTAGGAGTTCTGTCTTCCTGTTCCCATATCTGAAGAAGACCAGAATATCAGTGCGTCCCAATTCGCCATTTTGTAGTATACAGTGAATAGTGTGGGTAGTGTGATCACACTGAACAGGGAGAAGTGCACTTCAGGATGATGCTCTTGTTTATCGGGAATGTTGGACACTTCATGCTCTCAACAGTCCTTGCATAGTAGATAAACATATAGCATTGCACTATAACAGCCAAAAACACTGTAGCATTGTGGGGAATCATGCATGGGCAAACAAACACCACAGAAAAATATAAAAACCTACTTAACTCGTGCTGTCTGCTTACTTACATCCACAAATGTAACACAGCCCCAATTGTGATATTGATCATTTACTGGTTGTGAGGCTAAAAAGCGGCGGGTCATAAATATCTCCTGAAAGCTAAATGGGGTTCCTCCAGCCCAGTCGCAACATTGCAAAAATGATCAGTTTTCTGCTCTGTGATCTGGCTTCTTAATGCCTTTTTTCAATTAGTGAGCAGTGCATTTAAATGATTGCGGAAAGAGAAAAGTACGAGGTCTTCCGTGTCTTCCCTCGGGCATTAGAACAGCAGTGACCGGCCAGTCTGTTAATGTAAATGACTGTAAACGCCCTGATGTTGATGCCTTATAAACCTGGTGAAGAAGGAGGTTATCTGACCGAGCACAGGGCAGATTTCCCTCATCTTAGGGTGTTAAACAGCTGAGGGGCCAGACTTTAAGGACCTCATCTAACCTTATTTAAAGGCTGTGCAGAGAGGATATGATGTCCATGCGGAGCAGTGTGATAACAGTGGTCAGTTACTGTCTGTGAGTTCGAGACTGAGCTTACAGTCGTACCCAGAACTGAACGAAACCCTACATCCAAGGCAGAATCTCTGTATGTATGGATCTGCATTTACACTTTATTGATTTGTGGGCTTTAGTCTGAGTAGTTTCCCCTCAGGTTCTCCATGAAAGCGGTCCCCTCTGGTAACGTGAGACCGCCGGCCACCATTAGACTCTTCCTCATAGACTTCCACCAAATTCATCAAAGCTTCTCATTTGACCCATTTCAAGGAAACCGCGTCTCTCCATTGCACTGATGGCACGTCTTATATTCCAGATGATCACATGTCTTTCAGCATGCTTTTCAACGAGCACCTTTTTATCCCAATTATTGTTCATCTACAGAGCTGATGATGGATATTGACAGAGTATCTCATTGAAGAATAGACTTGGACATTAAGGACGATTTTTGTGCTTTTGTTTATTTTTGCTAAGATATACAAAGCTAAATATGGATGCCACTCATCTTTTACAGTAAGGGTTTAGTCTCAATCTGCACACCAGATGTTGCAATTGACCAGAGTCACAACCACGTTTTAAAATGGAGCCGTCTTTAATATTCTCTCCACAAATACTGTATATCTCTGTTCACTCGTCATTCTCAAAACTTCATTCTCAAAACATTTCATGTGTACATACAAAGCCATAGTTCATTTGAACTCTTCAGGCCTGTTCACTCCTGATATGAAGATGTGTTTCGATCGGTCGGATCACAAGTAGACGAGAGACACAGTCCCGTGCACACCTGGTGTTTAGATCCGTCTCTTTTGTCCACTTTAGACCTGTTCTGTCCTGATTTCTTCGAGGTGAGGGTCTATGGGCGAGGAAATGTATGGGCTTTTTCAGATCTCTCAATCTAATGGACAAAATATAATCTTGTGCAATTTACATATGAACGGAGACGAGAGAGAAACACACGGAGAGCGTTTAGTTTAGTTTCTGCTCTGACAGCCGAAGACCAGCCGAACACAGCGAGTGTGTGTTAGAAATCAGGAATGGTGAGAGAACATTGAGCTTGGTACATTTTCGTCTTCAAACCAAACTTGTGTCTCTAGTCGACAAAGTTTAAATCCCGTCTGGCTAGAGCTCTTCCCATAGTGTTTAGGCATTAGATCAGTAGGCGGAGAGTAGACGCTCTATTGTGGCTGTTTGAACACATTCGACGACATGAGTGTTTACACTATGTAAGCAATCCGGTCGAATGTGTTTTCATATACCTCTGGAAGTGGTGGAAAGTGTATTACATCTGTATTAGCGTCGTCCACTTGTGATCCGATCGACCAAAACGCATCTTGATACCAGGAGTGAACATGGCCTTAGTTTACATAAACATCCACATACACTCAAAAGAAAGTTCAGATGGGAATTACATTTCCACACAATGCTGGTGGATGTAAAAAAAACAGTTGGTCATTTGTCCGGGAACTTTCTAATGGCAGGTGGGAGACATTTCCGTTTTTGGACCGCAGTAAAATAACACACTAGCACCGAAAAATGCTGAAATGACATCATGGCCCCATGTAAAACAATTATGAGTGACATTTTAGGGCCGTTTTCATGTGTGTTTTGTCTCAGCAGAGCTCCAGTGGCTATATATGAGCTCATGCGTAGATGTTTCTGCTGTCGTGTGGTCTGGATCAGTAAAGTCCAGCTGTACTGCAGGATAACACTCCAAAGATGTCATATCTGTGGTATTTGGATCCAGTATCATTCATTACATTTTCTGCATATGTCTGAATGTTTTTGTAAGTGGTCATCTGAACAGGTCAGGTTTCAATTATAGTGTCTAGACAGGTCTGTGGAGGACTGCCGTTTAGTGATAGACAAAATATGAGGGGATAACAAGAGATTGGAGAAATACAGTAAATGTTGAAGGCCAAAGCAGATCTGAGTGAAGAACATCTCGTGAGTGGTTCACCAGTGTTGTGGTGGGCGGTTGCCAAGGCCTCGCTGTGCAGTTGCTAGGGTAGAGGTCGATCGAAATATGCTACTTATTTGACTAATAAATGCTTAAAAGTGACCAGCTGGATATAAACTACCGTAAAACTTCAAATAATAGCCGAGTCCCAAATAGACGCCTGTCTCTTTTACACGCCTGGTGTGGCTGCAGGTTTGGGTAAATAAAGGCCGGTCTCAAATAGAGGCCGGGTCTGTTTTTTAGTTTCGGGTTGTATTTAACCTTCTAAAACCCGTCCGATCGTCCGCTTTTTGGCGGCCGCCAAAGCAAATGTGTGTCCCGCCAAAGCCTTTTTTGATCGGCGAGTGATGTAGAATTGACTGCTGCGCTTGACAGGGCGCGTTACGAGCAGAGAGAGAGAGCGCGCCGCGCGCGCGCGCACTCTCCCGTCTTCAAACAACACGAGCGCTGTCTTGCTCTCTCTCCCTCGCGCATATTAATCAAAATCAATTGACGCGATAGTAAAAGGTCGGAAGACCGCAGTTTCACGTGGAGCATTTGTAGATTTTTTAGAGATTAGAGACTCTAGGCCTACACTCAATGAACAACATCTCAACACTAAATTATAAAGGCCGGTCTCATATAGACGCCTGTCTCAAATACAAGCCGGTGCAGTTCGACGATTTGGGAAAATAAAAGCCCGGGCTATTATTTGAAGTTTTACGGTAATTCAATAGATGGTAACAATCGTGACAGTAAACATTTTGGCCGGATTTGCGTGTTTTTGTTGTGTTTACATTGTTTTAACTTCTTGAGATACTACCAATGTTAGCGTCCTCTCAGTCTTGACGCGAACATACTGCTGTCTCCACTAATGCAGCATCTGTGACTGGGCAACAAATTAATCACTGTATAATAATATGAAAACATGATATATATACTGATATATATAACATTGATATAAGTGATCACTCGGATTTAGACCTATATTGTATTTATATAAAGCGTTCACAGGCAAATTTGCTTTATGTATTTCCCCGGTGTCGAAATCAGGCTCATATAAATGTCAGGAAATATGATTCCTGCTGCATAATGTCAATATCCATGATCACTGGATCTTTGGTAAGTTGTAAGGAACACTATATCAGGTCCAGCCTTTAGTTTAAACTGATGATAATAAGTTTTAGTGGCGTTTTCTCAGTTTCCACTATTAAATCCAGTCCCGCAGCTTCTGCCACTCGTGTTCCCGTGGGAAAGTCACGTCAGTGCATACGACTCCCTCTGTAGTGATGCCTGACTCACATCACGTCAAGCATCCCTCTGTAGAGATGTGAGTCAGGGTTGCAGTACTGCAGGTGTGGAGGAGTTACTGCAGTGGACCGGTGCAGACAAGCTCTTTGTCTTCAGTGGTCTCTGTCACGCCACACTCTTCCCACTGTTCGCCGTTTGGGAACAGCTCTGAAGGAGGGAACACACTGCACCTCCAGACCGCATGAATAATTACAGCGCTGAGTGCTGCCACTGCACTGCAGCAGAGCGCCCGGGTCCGGCTTTATGGAGGCGTCATGCCATGAGACACTGACTAATGCATCAGCACTGTGACTGGAAGAGAGATCGCGGCCGTTTCTTTCATTGTTTATCTATTTTGGCCTTGAAATTATGGATAGAAACATGAATGAAGTTAATTTGATTTTTAGTTTTGATGCACAAGCCGATACTGTTGGTTACAGTCACCTTATGTTGCGACGCGGAAGTAAAGCTTTTTTCTGTGAATGTGTGGGAAGTCATTCAGTAGAGAGAGAGAGAGAGAGAGAGAGAGAGAGAGAGAGAGAGAGAGAGAGAGAGAGAGAGAGAGAGAGAGAGAGAGAGAGAGTGTGTGATGGGTAGGTTTAGCGGTCGGGTTAGTGTAAAGGGAGAGATATACAGTTTGTACAGTATAAAAACCATAGAGTCCCCACAAACATAGTGAACCAGTCGTGTGTGTGTGTGTGTGTGTGTGTGTGTGTGTGTGTGTGTGTGTGTGTGTGTGTGTGTGTGTGTGTGTGTGTGTGTGTGTGTGTGTGTGTGTGTGTGTGTGTGTGTGTGTGTGTGTGTGTGTGTGTGTGTGTGTGTGTGTGTGTGATGGGTAGGTTTACCGGTCGGGTTAGTGTAAGGGGAGAGATATATAGGCCTACAGTTTGTACAGCATAAAAACCAGAGTCCCCACAAAGATAGTGAACCAGACGTGTGTGTGTGTGTGTGTGTGTGTGTGTGTGTGTGTGTGTGTGTGTGTGTGTGTGTGTGTGTGTGTGTGTGTGTGTGTGTGTGTGTGTGTGTGTGTGTGTGTGTGTGAGAGATGGATGGTCCTGCGTAGCGGCTCCAGTCGGGCGGGCTGTTGGAGGTGAGGGCATGAACACACAGTCAGACGTGACGCTGTGTGTGTGTGTGTGTGTGTGTCTGACTCCAGTCTCTCTGCTCATGACAGCGCAGGAGAAAAGGCCTCTCTATCTCTGTAAAAGCTCCTCAGTGTTTGTGCGTCAGCAGAGAAAGGCACCGTTATTGAATTGGTGCCCGAGACCTTGTTCCGCGTTTGTTAATAAAACTCTTGCCTTGACGTGTTTGGCATGAGAAGCGTCTCATCTCCTAATGCAGCAGTAACCCTTCACCTGCCAAACCCATGCACCGCACCGATCACACACTCTTCCGGCACATCTCCCATTCCACATTTCAGACAGAAATACTCCTTCAACTTCCTGTGAGAAGGATTTAGGATTTAACTCATTTCACATTTTGAATGCTTAGTCAAGAAGGTCAGATGTTTGCATTTCTCTGTTCATAGTTTTTATTCTACAGTTTATCATAGTAACTCTGAATGCATTGATCTTTACTATGTGAGAAATATAATATTTAGTGTTTATTATATTTAGATACAATGCTAACACTTAATGCAGTTAGTTTTAGTGCACCCTAACAAACAGATCTTTACCCTCTAGAAAACAAACACAGTTTTGACTTTGACTTTGATGACTTGTTCGTTTTGGCACGCTTGGGACCCTTTTGGCACCTATCCCACATTATCAAGCCAATGACCTTCATATCTACAATATATCTATTATATGAGGTTATGCTACAAATAATCTTTAAATGTCATTTTGACAGAATGGATTGTGAATTTTCCATCATTCTCTAATTTTCTACACAAGTGTTGTCATTAGTGGTGGGCATAGATACATTTTTTTAATCTAGATTAATCTCACTGTAATCTTGGAATTAATCTAGATTAAAATGGCTCATTTGAATTCTGCCGAAGGCATTCAGGATGTGTGTGCTACCCAAATAAATAACCTCGCAGGTAGTCTGTTAGATGGGCAGGGGCGGAGCTAGACTCTCAGTGCAGTGGGGCGGAGCTAGAGTCAGTACAGTGGGGGCGGAGCTAGACTCTCAGTGCAGTGGGGGCGGAGCTAGACTCTCAGTACAGTGGGGGCGGAGCTAGACTCTCAGTGCAGTGGGGGCGGAGCTAGACTCTCAGTGCAGTGGGGGTGGAGCTAGACTCTCAGTACAGTGGGGGCGGAGCTAGACTCTCAGTACATTGGGGGTGGAGCTAGACTCTCAGTACAGTGGGGGGCGGAGCTTCATCTTGGGGCCCTCTGCTACCAAGTCATTTTAAAATTAAAACCGTTAAAAAAAAATGTAAACTATCTGATGAATGCATATGTAATAATGTGTTACTTGTTGAGCCAAGTAAGCTTATGTTAAATAAAACACAAAGACTGTCTGGTTCTTTTCTTTTTAATGCGCCCGATTCATATTTTCTCTCCATTTTCGTAACTATTCTCTACATTATACATTCGCACCTCACGCCACCCACTGTACCCCTGAGGCAATAGGCCTGCCTTATACGCTGAGTTTCGGTTCATTTATGAGACAAGCTCCAGTTCACGCGCCGGCGCCTCCGTGTCGTGATTATCTATCGTCTGCTATATTTACTTCTTATTTATTAAATCCAGGCAATTGGTTGATGAAACATTGATTACAATTAAGATACAATTAATACAAAACGAAATTCGCCTTAATGAAAGGCTTTGTGCTTTATGTTTGATGTCTCTGTGAAAGTTTTAAAGCAGTGCTGCTTTTCAGATTGCTCGCGTCCGTAACGGGGAACTGTCACGTAGGCTAACATTGTTTTTCCCTCATAAATGCGAACACGAAAAATAAGACAAAATGAATATTTTATGTTCTGTGGAGAGCCAGCCCTTCTTCATCCGGTGGGTAGTATTACTTTTTGTACTTTTGCCACCTAAAAGTTAACGTTTTTTGTGTCACGTCCGTTACGGATGTGTATTTCCCTCATATTAAATATAAAACGCATAAACGGATATTTTTCTAATGTGTGGACTCCTTTATTAAGGGAGTATAGATAAACAGACGTTTCAATATATTGGTATTAAATGCCCCTACAGTGCAATTCGGCTAGGTATACAGTAGGCCTACATCTGCGCTAAAATATGAAGGTGAAAGTCATCATAGCTTGCGTAGTATAGACCCTGCTCCCAACCCAACTTTGAGAATAGATTAATGGCGATATTTTTTTATCGCCCGATAAGAGTCTCACGTTAACGCCGATAACGGCCCACCACTAGTTGTCATTTTTCCTGAAGAAAATGATATAGCCGTATGCTATTTCCCTTCAGTATGTAGATTTGATTTAATATGAACATATTCAGTAATTAAAAATTACAATCCTAGTCCGATGGGGTCGCTTATTTAAAGAAGTAGCTTTCTGAATCACTGGTGTCCTCAAGCAGATCTAGTGTTACAGTCGCGCTTCACGTCACAGCTGTCTCTAAACTGTGTATGTAAAACATTCTTTTAATAAGGAATGCGTATGACTTTCTCTTCAGTTGTTCCTGATAGGACATCAGCATGTGTCCATATAATGCGAGTCCACTTCCTCTGTGAGAGTCGAGGGGTCACGACTGTCGACCTGACCTCATGACCCCGCTGCACACACACACCTCGTGTACATTTGATTCCCAGCCTAATGGCAATGAGACGTGGGACGGCTTAACAGGCCTGAGGGGACGTGAAGCCCTCAGTATCTGCTCCATTTACCCCTGCTCATGCCACGTGCTGTGTGGTCACTAATCCCAGCTCATCTGATAATGGTAACAAGTCATCCGTCCTCGTCAGTGTGGGACGGCTTAGTTAATGCTAGTGGAAAGCAATGTGTATATTTGTGAGCATAAAAGAGTGAGTTTGAACTTCATCATTTACAAATCCTTCAGAAACGTACACAGACCGCGAGGATGCCAAGATGAGTCTGAATCTTGATCTGACTAATCTGAGGAACAGATGGCCTCTGTCTGGGCTAAGGTTTGGAGACCCTCATGTTTCAAACAGGTGAATGAAAATCAAACCTGTCAAGTCATATTTTACCCCAAAATTAAAACAGAAAATATGTTTTGCACAAAGAAAAGGAGATTTTTGTGATGATTTAGCACATTTTACCTCCTTAAATTCTGAATACTGTAAAGCAAACAAACGAATAGTTTTGTTTATTGTATGTTTAATTTAAGCTAAGTTTAATAATAAAATCTTTGTATTAGTGAAAATCTGATGATAATTATTATCAAAAGTAAGGGAAAAAATCTGGATGAGAATTTGTGGGGGGACAATGTGTCTTAATTAAATTAAAATTCATTCGCAAGAATGAAAATAAAAAAGAAATCTTAAGCTTAACTGAAACAAAACTGATTTAAAAGTTTAGTTTCAATATGCCTTCATTTATTAGCCTGTTTTATCTTTGTAATATTTAGCATGTTAAATCATTCAGCCTTTTGTTATATAATCACTTTACGCGTCCATATTATATAATGGCCTTCAAGATAAATCACACTGTGTTAACTGTGAAATTGGCTTCAATTTGAGATCACGGAAGCAAATGAATCTAATGGCAATGAAAGACTAGTACAGAACGACTTGAACTACAATAATAGTGACAAAACCAGTTCATTAGTAAAGCCCTTGTTCTTACATTGTGTGTTAGCACAGCTGACGTGTAAAGAAAACGCCTCATTAAATGAAAGCACACTGATTTCCGGTGTGGCTGCACAGTATTCCCTGTGGAGTCTGTTCCTCATTCAGTATTTATTGGTCCGGGATGGGGGTTCTGGCCCGCCCGCGATCCCCCGGCCCTGAGTCAGCGTTCCTGCAGCATGTGGAGGCAAATGTGATTATACAACAGTAAAGGGCAAACTGAATATATACACACATTACTCAAACTAATCAATTTAGCCTTTTAAAATCAGCTCTGTGATTTAAAAACAGGCATTTGATTGAACGATGAAACGTTTCCATTCATGTTTTATTCTCATTTATTATCAGCGCCGTTATTATCTGCAGTGTTTTTCAAGTAAAGATAATACTTCAAATCTTAAAGTCAGTTACAACCATAGGTTACAATGTCTACCCAAAGTTTAAGCAGTAGACTTCAGATCTCCTCAAAATGTAATATGAAATAATATTATCATTTGGAAAGTTGATGAGATGTTGTGTGGTATAATATGCTTTATCTAAAAGTGTTTTAAACCACAGTTTTTGAATTCTTTTATAATTATTATGCATGCAGTTTTATGGGCTCATATTGATTTCATGAAAGCTATTTGTCATTTTTTTAAAAATTCGGTAACTTTATTTTACAGTGTCATCATTACATATGTTACATGTAATTATTATAGTAATCACTATAAAATACGCATAACTCCTAACCCTATAGTAAGTACATATACTTAAATGTATAATTACACTAACAGGGACACCTTAAAATAAAGTGTAACAAAAAAAATTCTTTGTTGCACCTCAGGGCAACTACTAAAGACAAAAATATAATTAAATAATGGTGAAAAACTTAAGCAAAAATGGTGAGCAGCACTTAAATACACATTTTATCTCATACTTTCATATCAATTTTAACCTGAAATCTTAAAAAAAAGTCTAACTACTCATCATGCATATATATTGTAATTGTGCCTACCATCGCCCACCCTGCCTTCTAGATACAGTTTTGGTTATTAGCAATTTAAAAAACATATCACTCGACCACTGATAGAAACAATAGCAGCATATTCCCCTGAGAAAGCGTCCCATCAGTGTGTGTGTGTGTGTGTGTGTGTGTGTGTGATACAACTCTATCCTCATCCACAGCAGAATCAATGACAGAGAAGGAGAGAGAGCGAGAGAGAGAGAGAGAGAGAGAGAGAGAGACTGTCTCATTCGCTGCCGTTCTTCCTAATTGGATCAAGCGCAGACTTGCCCGACTCTCTGCTTTGTGTTGGTAGTGTGAGAGGAGAGAGCCACCAGACAGAGCGTGTGTGTTGGTGTGATGGATACGGAGAGGGAGAGAGAGGAGGGGTGTAGGAAGGGGTGTGTGTAATCTTCACTCCGATCTCCTCGTCCTTCCGTGTGCTTCTGCGTGCGAGTCTGTAACGGCCGGCTCTTGCTCCAAGGAGCCGGCGCTTTGATGGGACATACACCTGCAGCCTGCGGATGATTCAGGCGTTTCGGACAGCATGATCCTCAGCCTTGCCCCCAGGTGAGCACTACTCTCTCCCCGGACCTCTCGACTCGCTCTGAGGCGGATCCTCCCCGGGGTGCTCACACACACTGCTTCCCGAACACATGCCTTATTTATAGCCTCGCTGCCGGTGTTTTTCCTCCTGCTCCTGTGGAGACCGTGCGCGCGACCTGGGCGACAGAAATTAGAAGTCTTCCTCTTTAGTAACGAGGTTAGTCAGTCAGTTGAGCATCGTGTCCGAGTCCCTTCCCCCTCTCCTGATAATGGAGAGATCACTTCGTGAGGCAGTAGAGCGAGGTCTGCTGCTCGTCTGATCCTGACACACAGAACCGGGGGGAGAGATGCAGTCGGAGGACATCTCGGCCGGGCTCGCGTCTCAAGAGGCTCCTTCAGAAGCGCTGTCCGAGGTCTCCACGAAAGAGACGCCCGAGGAGGCGGAGGAGGACGTGCCGGGGGACGGCGAGCAAGGTCCTTCGGGATGCGTGCCTTTGCCTTTGGCTTGCTGTGTGTGCCTGGACCTGGAGCGCGTGAGTAACTGCGTGCGCTCGGAGAAGATCTGCATCTTGCCTATCCTGGCCTGCTTGCTGAGCCTGGCTCTCTGCACCGCCGGCCTCAAGTGGGTCTTCGTGGACAAGATCTTCGAGTACGAGCCACCCACCCACCTTGATCGTAAACTCATAGGACATGATCCTGTAATAAACTCGGACTTCACTCAGAATCCGGTATCAGTCTCCGCTTCCACGGCCAGCCCGTCTGTCCCGGGACAGCCCAAGGTGTTTGTGGAGGGGGGGTCCACGGCCGGTCCCGTCGAGGTCTCCTCATCTAAAGTGGCTGTTTTAACACCCACTGCAGCAGTGACTGTTCACAACAACTCTGTGTCTCCACCCAAACCCAAGAGCACCTTCAAACCCGTCCAGAATGCCACCAATGCAAACCAATATACAACTCTGGAATCTAACGAAATTATTCCAAAGACATGTAAGTACAACCTGTGTTCACTTTGGGGGGCTTGAAAATGTTAGAAGTTTAAGTTTAGGTCTAGTCTCAAAATACAGAATCTGCCTTGAACAATGAAGAAGGTTATGTGTGTACCCCTAATTGTTAAGAACATTAATTGTTAAGCGCTTGTTTCCCCGTGAGGTAAGAGTCGGATGTGTAGTATGTCACTTCGGAGCAGGCGTGTTGTACCGTGTCGGTCGTGCTGCACACTCCTGCGACTGAGCCCTGAAAGTACAAGTCACCCGCGATGGGCGCTGATAGTGACGCAGACGCCCCTTTGAAGCCGCCTGTCAATTACTGTGTCAAACCCGAACACTATCAGCGGCGCACGAGTGTGTGGTAATGCAGTGGTGCTGCAGTGAGGAGGACACTTCCTATTGGCTCTGCTCCATCTCAAGGTCAGAGTCTCCACACAGACTAGCCCATGCCCTTCCACAGAAAGATGATCGGCAGTAACACTATCTGCTCTCCACCGTGACTTTGAGAGCTTGAAGAATTATAATGGCTGGAGGACTGCCAGACTTCCACTCCCGGATCTCGGATCTCCTTCCCTTTCCTTTTTTCTCCCCAGTTTTTTTTTTGGTTTTGTTGGTCATCTCTGCCACTTTAAGCAGTGTGCAGTGATGCCGGGAGAAGTCTCCTGAAGCCAGCCTATAGTGATGCTGAGAATCTGCAGCTCATTATGCAAATATAGAGCCAAGCCCTTCAGTTCTCTGGGACTGAGATCTCTACTTTAATCCATTTAAAAGATTGGATTATCTCACCTCATCTGTCTGAGGTTAAGACAGCTGCTTATGTAAAATACTGAGCTATTACAGAATTAAGAGCTGCCGGATGTCTTTGGGACACTTCTAGCCTTAGTTACATGTAATGGAGAAATATTTGTAATGGAGAATGTGGTGTCACACAATATTTAATATGAGAATGAAAACAGACATGCATTTTTTTAGCTGGAAGTGCTACTTTACTACAGTATAATCAATGTACCCAACAGTACAACTCACTGAAGGGATTGTACGTCTATCCCTAACAGCTTAATTTAACATTGTTAATTTGTTTGTGACTGGACTTTACAGTCCATTTGTTGCTGAGACCTCAGAGTATTTCAGATGTGGTGGATCCTCCATGCCTTGATCTTCATAACCTCGCGTCACCCCAGCGCTGGCCTCGTTCGGCTTGCACAGTTTGCTTGAATCAAGTGCTGCTGGGAAGCTCAAAGACCCTCCCACTGCAAGCACTGGGATCAATCGTCTGGGCCTGAAATGGAAATGCAATCGGTTTTGTGGACATTTCAGTCTAAATCAATAACAGACAGCAGATCAGCTGACTAACAAGGAAGCTTTAGTTAAAGTGATTCTGAGCCCGATGAAATACATCACGCATTTTGTGAAATGAAAGATCAGGACAGAAATATAATGAGAGGCAAATGCATCATGGATGCACATTTATGGGTTTACATCATCATGTATTGCATTAGTACTTCATTAATCCATTACATATACTTTGCATTAGCACTCAAAAGCCCGTTATTCCACGAAAAGAAGCTCATTGAAAGTTTTTTCAATAGTTTGTTAGAAAAAGTTTGCTAAATAGAAATTGCTTTACTGCACAATATTCCCATACAGAGGATTAATGCTGTTTAATGGGGAACAATGAACACTGATCTCTCAGTAGGATGTGAGCTTGTAAGTGGAAAATAGTGCATTTTGTCAATTTTATGTGCCAAGCTGCAGTTGTTTGCATGTTGTTTTAGAGGATTTTGTAGAGTAATATTGACTTGCTGGGTTACTGTACTGGTTCTGAATACTATCCATGCTGTCTGTGGGCCAACCTAGCAATGCTGCCTCACTTGATTAGTATTAATCTGACTTTTGTAAACTTTTTCACATTTGGTAGTTTAGCAAATAAACCACCAAGAACTATTTTTGTTTGTACATGTATCTTAGGTTGCTAAATAGTTATCTGGAGATTAGCTTAGTTCCCGATGGAGGTTGTTCGGATCAGTGTTGAGCTCCTCAAAGCACCAGCACATTCCTGCGTAATAATCAAGAAACTTCACTGCCGTACCATGAGTGCAGCAGGCGTAATGATATGACGCAGTGCCTGAAAATAGTTCCGTTGTGTTGACGGAAGGTGGCCTATTTTCAGGCGCTGCGTCATATCATTACGCCTGCTGCACTCATGGTACGGCAGTGAAGTTTCTTGATTATTACGCAGGAATGAGAGTATAGTTCCTAGCCATATCAGCCTAGAAAATCGCAACTTTACATTTTCCGTCGGTCTTAGTGCACGACGTAACTACAGAAGAGTCCAGTTTTAAATAGGAAAAATATCGAAACTCTTTGGTCATTTTTTTTTGAGAAATGCTAATGGTCTTGTCCACTTCAATGATGTATGCTAAGCTATGCTAAAAGTGGTACCGCCAGAACCGGACATCGGCTGAATTGATTCAAAAACGGTAAAACTCAACAGTTTAACTCTGGGGGAGTTGTAAAATGAGCCTATTTCCAAAAAAAAGTGGAGCATCCCTTTAAGTAAGTTCAGTGATGGTTCATTTCTGTTGTAAAAAAAAAAGTTATTAATTTAGTTCATTTATATATATATAGCCGCTCTGGAGAAAACCGTAATGTCATCGTCCAGCTCAGTTCAGCTCTCATATAATGGTGTCAATGCAGGCAGATCAATAATAATGCTGAATATTAAATTAATGTCCCCAACTAAGCAAGCCAAAAGCCAATGATGACAAAGGCGAAAAAGGCGATGGTGGCGAGGAACCAAACCTCCATCAGTGGCAGAACGGAGAATAATAAACGGCCTCTGGATTAGTCCATTGCCTCTGGTCGAGTGGTCTAGTGTCTTGATCTCGGGCACGTCCAGCCCCTCGACATCAGCGCTCACTGCTGACCTGTGTTACAGAGAGGCCGCGCGATCTGTCTTCGCTCTCGGTTATTTCGGGATGCCCTGTGCGAACGACTGATGATTCAGATCTAACTGCAGTATTTCAGTGGGACTAAAGCCAAGAATCAGGCTGGGTCTGTCTACAAGCTGAAATTATTGATGTCCTGTGTGGTCACTGGCATTAGTGATCAGAGGCGTATAGTTTGGATGGCTGGGCCCTTTGTTGTATATTTTAGGATTCAGATTTTTGTAAGAAAAATCAGGTTTCGCCTTCTGTTTGCACACACTACCTCTGTGCTGTTCTGTGATACAGTATTGATGAACACATTAGCTTATGCTAGACAGTGAAATGGTGCATAGCACTAAGTACATGATAGTAAACATGCATAAGCCATAGGTCTCTATCCCGTAAAGCGTGCTGCTCATAAATGCACAGCTCTGTGAACTCGTTGAATAATGTATGAATAACTTCCTGATGGCTTTATCGATCAGTGCTACGCGTCTCACCAACCTTTTAAAATGTCTTCCTTATGATGTCACAGACACGTTTCACGCGCTCTCCCATCAGATCTCCAAGACATAGATGATTTATTACTTATCAGCGAAATAAGACTTCTTCCCGTGCTGTGATTTTGACATCAGTTATCAGTTATCATGCTTCGAGTCCACTTACTGTTGTTTTCACTCTATCCGTTTTAATTAAGAAATAATCTGTGAAGCTGTTCATTTCATTACTGGCTCTGTTCTCTTGCTGGTTTTGTTCAGTGTGGTGCGGTTCATCGAGAGGTCATGCCCCGCTTTCAGGAGATGAGCTCCACCCGTCGCAGCGACGCCTTTTACCTCCAGTAATGAATGTCTTATGGATTGTTTTTTAGCTAGACAGCAAAGGTTTCGTCTTTTTAATTGCAGCCACTGTTGAAAGTGTTTTATTGGCCGTGTGATGTCATGCCAATATTTTTGATGACTTCTACATAGTGCTTCTCAAATGGTTTCAAGGATCCATTTTACAAAACCCACATAATAAATATTTTCTTAAAGGTACACTATATAACTTTTTTTGTTCAAAACTAACAAAATTTTATTGTGTCAATACATCATCAATCTTTCTTCCCAAACATGTTTTTGTCTAACCCTGATTCACTATGGTCTATTCTAGTGTTTATATGTTAGACTTGTCAGGAGGGTTTTGGTGTACAAACGTCTCTCGTCTGTGTGTGTCTCGTCGTCATATCCGTAAATAGAGTAAAGTTGCTCCGGCTGCTTTGACGCGTGTCGTGTCGTGTTGTGTGTGTGTGTGAGTGGCAGGGGTTAGTAGTCACAACGAGTGAGAAAGATTGACATGGAGCCGCTAAATCTCCAAGCTCCAGAGAATCCCCCGTTTAAACAAACGGCGAACAGAGGAGAGTCTGCTGGAGAAAAGAGAACGAGACGGAGCTCGTGATAAAGCAAGAGTCAGCATCAGCTCGGCTTTAGGAGATGGAGAGAACTGAGGGGTTTGAACTGTTGTAAAAGTGGGATGGAGATGATGGTGTTTCATTACTCCACCGGAGAGTGAGGTGTTTTCCTGAACAGATAACCTGTCATATGCAGCTCTCTGACAGAGTTCACTGTACAGCATTATCTTTTGTCAAGATCATTTCATTATGGTTGTTGTTGCTGTGCTGGAATTTATCTTCAAGCAAGTACCGTGTGTATAAATGGGTAAAGCTACAGTAACGTCTACAGTTAGTCAGCTTAAGATCCTTTCCATCTACACTGGTTATATCTCGTAAGCCTAGTAGTGAATGTTTTATGAGCGGTAGGATAATCATATTCATCCGCACAGTCACGCAGAGCCAAAGCACAACCAAAACAATGTTCTTCCCCAAAATGCATGCAGTTTGTTTTTCAACCACTAGTGGGCCAAAAGTTATTTGGTGTACCCAAGGGGGTAATCCTCCAGCCGGAGACTGAAGTCTCCCCGGGGGCCGCCATTGGCTAGCAAGCCTTCACCTGCTGTTAGCATCCCATTGACTCCCATTCATTTTGGCGTCACTTCGACAGCAAATAACTTTACATCTGAGGCGTTTAAAGACTCCG